TCCTTTTCCATGGGGCAGCTCCAGCCCCTCTGCCCCCAGCCTGGAGCGCTGCAGGGGGTTGGTGGGACCCAAGTGGAGGACCCAACACCTGGCCGTGTTGAACCTCATCCCATTGGCCTTGGCCCATTGATTCTTTGACCATGCAGTGCCACATCAATGGGAAGTTTTAGGTGCTGTTGACAGTATTGGTAACTGAAGATAATTTCTTTTATATGATATGCCCTAAGTCAGTAAAATACATCAATGGGAAGTTGTAGATGCTGTTGACAGTATTGGTAACTGAAGGTTATTTTTTTTTATATGATATGCCCTAAGTCAGTAAAATCACTGGAATCCAGGTATAAGGTTGCTATTCCATTTTAATCTGCTTTTCAGAGGGAGGACAAGCTGTGAGCAGCTGCGTGTAGTGCATTGTGGAGCTGTAACCTTCATGTGGGAGTCTGTTTATTTGCATAAGAACCATAATGTTGGATCCTGAGCCATTGTGTCAAGTTATTTGAACAGATTGAAATAAAAGAGTAAATTACACTATAGGTGTTGATGAAAGCATGAAGTAGTTTTTGTGTCGATGCTGGTGTAGCAGCAGTTATGTAGGATAGTACGATTCTTTGAGATATTTCTTGGAATTAAAAAGGGAAGCATGATTTGGGGATTTTTGATGATAGGAAATTATGTTCCTTATGATCATTAAAAAAAGCTTCCTTAAAAAAAACTTAATAACAGAATTAATTTCAGCATGTAGAGGAGAATTCCTCGTCAAATGCTGCCAATACATTGATCGTAGCAAATAACACTATTTGCTTTTGTAACAAAAAGCTGCTGAAGGTTTTCAGGGAAGAGCTTGTGCTTCAAAACTGCTGGAAACTACTTCTAGGGGGAAGGGGAATTCCGAAGAGGAATCTTACCTTACAATGAATTCATGGTCTTGGGTGAATCTTCGTTGTTGGGTGAGATGCTCAATACACTTTGGCCCAGCTGGTTTAACTACTTTTAAGAATACACTTGTCCTAAAGAAGATTAGTCTTTTTGGATGATGAGTTCACTGCACTAAGCCTCACCTTTTTCTTGATGTGTATAACCGAGTGTTTATATATTCACAAATCTCCTATAAATCCGTGCAGTCCTAGAGCCTTTTCAAGTGTTTCTGTTATCAGTGTCTTATGATTTGTTTTACATTAAAGCTTTCCCACTTCATGTAGTGTTTTAGCCCAGAAATACTGATTCCAGTGGTAAAATAATGAGGTTAGTTTATGTTAAACAAACAGACAGTGGTTTTGGAGGTCTGTTGGATTTCAGATGAGTTTTTGGGAACACAGTAGAGTCACCTATAGGAGCTAAATCTATTTGTTGCTTACAGTTGAGAGACAACTACCAGTGCCCGATAGTTCTCATCAGCTGGGCGATGCTGTATGAATGGAAATAGTTTCTTTTCCTTTTTTCTTCATTGAAAAAAAGTCCTTTGCTGACAGCAAATATGTTCTGCTCTGCCAAATGAAATAGTGCATGAAATTCTGCTCTCCTTTTTTAAGGAAGAAGTTTTGTGTGGTTTCCATGATTGTACATTGAAGTACTGAAGTTTCATTCAACTTCATTATATTTTTCATCTTAGCTGTAACTACTGATCAGATAAATCATTCTGGCCTTGAAAAAAAGAATAATCTAGCTTTATAGATTCTTGATAGCCAGTTTTATTACTTCAACTGAATTCAAGATATCATAAAATTATTTGTCTTTTTGAAAATGGAAATGTGTTTTTAGTGTTTCATTACGTTTTACACACTGAGGTTGAAGCTTCTCAGTTTATTTTCATAAGAACAAACATGGATGTTCTAGGAGTGTGCATGTGGGTCACATACTTTTTTTTTGCCGTAGCTAATAAGTGCTTTTTGAAAATGAGGTACATCAGATGTCTCCAGATTAAATACGATCTCATGGGAATCGTTAGTCATTCCTTGGAAATAATTACTTCTTATTGAAAAATAAATGTCATACTGCATTTAATCCGTGCTATAATTTCCATCCATCCAAGAGTGTGTGACACTCGTTTTCCTTTTCTTGCTCTGCTCTTCTGGACCGTGTTTGTACAGAAGCCTTTGCAAGAGCCATTGAGAAATTGTTGTCTTGGTTGCTATTAAGAGCTCAGTAAAAAAATGTATAAATTGGATTTTGCTCTAAGAGAACGTGTGGTCTGTAACAAGAGGTTTTCCTCTTTCTGCATATAACTTGACAGCGTGCTGCGTTTGTTTTTTGTGCTGAAATAAAGAATTGCTAAATAGAGAAAGGGAAAGAAAAAGTTTCCCGGAGTTTCATGCAAGAAGGTTATTTCCCCTCCAGGCAGGGGCAGATGATCACGAGCAATACCAGGGTATGAAGTTACCCTTCCTCTTTGTAACCGATCCACGGCTGCTTCTAATTGAGTGCAAATGTGAAGTAAAATGGGTTTGCTTAAATTATCTCCGTTAGCTGTGTGTGTGACCTTCATCGGGGATGAAGCTAACCCATTTTCCTTCAGGTTTTGGTGGCCTAGAAGTATTTTGTGGGCAGCCGTAGCTTTTCAGGCGAGCATTGGTACCTCTGGGGTGAAAATGGTGGTATCTGAAGAAGCCCTGGCTGGACGGTGGGCTGGTGTCTGCCCATGCTGTTGGAAGGGCGCTTGTAGGCGTGTGACCAAACTGGGGGTGAAGATAAAGGCACTGTCCACCTACAGCCCCCGCTCTACAGTTTGACTGCTGGTCTCAGGTGTTAATATTTGCACAGTTCTAGTTTCAGGGAGCTGAAGGGGACAACAAAAGGGGACAAAAGGGGAACCATCAGGGATTGCAATAAGGAAGGCTGCCTGGTGCCTTCCCAGTATAAAATCATGGAACGGTTTGGGTTTGAAGGGACATTAAAGATCATTGAGCTCCAACCCCCTGCCCTGGGCAGGGACACCTCCCACCAGACCAGGTTGCTCCAAGCCCCATCCAGCCTGGCCTTGAACACCTCCAGGGATGGGGCACCAACAGCTTCTCTGGGCAACCTCTTCCAGGGTCTCACCACCCTCACAGCAAAGAATTTCTTCCTGAGATCTCACCTCAATCTCTGCTCTTTCAGTGTAAAGCCATTACCCCTTATCCTATGGCTCCCCTCCCTGATCCAGAGTCCCTCCCCATCTCTCCTGGAGCCCCTTGAGGGACTGGAAGGGGCTCTAAGGTCTCCCTGGAGCCTTCTCTTCTCCAGGCTGAACCCCCCCAACTCTCTCAGCCTGTCCTCACATCAGAGGGGCTCCAGCCCTCCCAGCATCTCTGTGGCCTCTTCTGGCCCCATTCCAACAGGTCCATGTCCTTCCTGTGCTGAGGACTCCAGAGCTGGACACAGAGCTCCAGGTGGGGTCTCCCCAGAGCGGAGCAGAGGGGCAGAATCCCCCCCTGGCCCTGCTGGCCACGCTGCTGGGGATGCAGCCCAGGATGGGGTTGGGTTTTTGGGCTGCCAGCGCACGTTGCCGGCTCATGTGGAGCTTCTCATCCACCACTACCCTCAAGTCCTTCTCCTCAGGGCTGCTCTCCAGCCATTCTCTCTCCTCCCAACCTGTATAGGATGCTGATTGGAGTGTTTTATAACTTTGTAAACCATTAGCCTTTGGGGTTAGGCATTTGCCTCTAGCATTTATTTTTTTTTATTTCTGCCAAAATTATTTAGCTATCTGTAAGAACGCATGAAAAAAAAAATTCTTTTAAAAAAAACAACTTTTTTTGGAAATACTCTATGTCCCTGCCTTCAAAGTAGAGGCTCGGAGTTAGATGGCAGCGCGGGAAGTGCTGGTGATAGTTTCTGGGGAAGAAAAGCGGTTTATGAGTCACGGCTTTGTCAGCACTGTGAAAATCTCAGATGTAACCAAAGTGTAACCTTTTAAAGAAATCTCAGTTCTCGCATGCCGGCTTGAGAGCTGTATGGCCTGGATGGGGAGGGGAAGACTGAGGTGGGGGGTGAAAACAATGCCTTGTACCCCCAGCACCTGAGAGCCAGAAGTGGACCCATGGGGGTCTGGTGTGGTCCTGTCCCCCAGATGCCATAGACTGGGACCAGGGGAGATGGACCTGGGGTGAGAGGGAGAGTTAATATGATGGTGTGTTGGGGAATGAAGGAGGGGGAGTCAAGAGGATAGTGTGGCACTGCCAGCCAAGCCTGGAAGTGACCAAGGCAGGGGAGATGGAAAGCCTTGGGGAGTGGGGATGAGGAGAGACTTGGCCAAAGGTGCTGGAGGTAGGAACGAAGAAGCACTAGGGCTTGAATCAACATGGGCCAGAGGATATGGCTGGAGGAAAACAGGCAGAGGAGTTTCTTATGGAAGGTCCTTTTCCAGAAAGATCTTTGAATATAAATAAACACCTTTTGATTTCAGTAGAAGTTCCTTGAGAATATGGTTTTAACCACTGCCTACGGTTAATCCTCATGCAGAGAACTGTTTGCAACCAGTTTCGACCCCACTGCTGGTTTTTGTCGGTGTCAATGTGACGCCGTCGTACAAGGTCTGATGTCTCAATTCCTTTGTTTCTAAAAGCGCCAAATGCAAACATCTTTTGAAACAATTCTTCACAGAGAGAGTGGTCGGGCATTGGAATAGGCTGCCCAGGGAGGTGGTTGAGTCCCCATCCCTGGCTGTGTTTAAGAACCGTTTAGATGTGGTGTTGGGGGATATGGTGTAGGGGAGAACTTTAGAGTAGGGTGGATGGCTGGACTCGATGATCCCGAGGGTCTCTTCCAGCCTAGATAATTCTGTGATTCTGTGATCTTTTGCAGTGTGGCAACGTCCAAGTCAAGAAATGTCCAAACTGAGCTTATCTTTGCAAAACTCTTTTCATTTGACCCTTTTGCAGTGTGGCAACATCCAAGTCAAGAAGTGTCCAAACTGAACTTATCTTTGCAAAACTCTTTTCATTTGACCTCTCATGAGGAAGCCTTGCAATTTAATGGTATATAACTGTACGCTGATGTGCTGGCTTTTGTTTTTTTTTCCACAGGACCCCTGCTTCGTTCCGTGCACAGGATGGACCTGCTCTGGGAATGAATCTGGTTGCTGTGGTGGAGAAGGCTGTTCTCTGTAGTGCCCCTGCCTCACTTCCAGCAGCGATCGGGCCGTGCAAGGGAGGCAGAGGCCGTTCTGATGCTCTGCGCAGCTGGGGAACAAGATTTTCTTCCTGGCTGTGCCACAGACTTCCTAGGTGATGCTCGGTAAGTTGCTCAAATCCTGGCTTTTCTCCTGTCTTTGTGAACTATCTGTGTCTTGCTGTCTTGAATCTCTGGATTTGATTTGGAAAAGTGCTGAGCGCTGGTAAGTGCGAGCGAGGCGCTGGGGGCTGAGGTTTGAAAGTGCTATATAAAGCACAACGTAACGCGAAGTGCTGTGAAAAAAATGAGGTCTGAGCTATGCCAAGTTGTCTTCAGAATTGGAGAATCATTTTGACCTTAAAGCTCAAGTTGGGAATAACACAGTTATTCGAAGCTGGAGTAACAGTAGGACTAACCATTCTGTTGATGAAGGACTCGGCTGCGCCGTTGAATTCACAAAGAAATTACTTGTTCCGTCGTCCAAAAAAAATGGGAGTAGCATGTGGTAAATAAGGTATTGGACCATAGGCCAAATACCAGGAGTAAAACAGATTGCTGTTTGATTAGTGGCAATTCTGCACGCAGAAGGAGGCAGAGGTGCTGTGGAAGTGGTGTGACACAACCGCGGTGCGGACCGTGCCCCAGAAGAAAACAAAAGGCAAAAATCTAAGTCTCTCTAAAACTTAACTTCTGACATTTCCTCCTGTCAGGACTCGCCTCCACGGGCGGGCGGGTTTTAGTGTAGAAGTTTGTATCGTGTAATATGAGCTGGGGTGCAAGAAGCACAGCGTTTTTAATGCTGTCAACTCAGATAAAGTATGGACGTAAACCCAAAAGGATGCGTAAATTCATCGTTTGTCGCAGGCACACGCCTCCTGTGCCCGGGTATTGTAGCAGGTCCAAAGCAGGCAGTGTTTGTAATGCCCACTATCAGAAGGGCTGGAGCTCAGAATTTCATCTGCATTTCTTCAGGCTCGGGGTTTGTGTTTTCCCAGCGGGATGTCCGTCGCTGGCTACAATGCTGTTGTAATCAGTAGATAACAGAGTGTTTTTTTGGGGCCGAGGCATCGGTTAAGCTAAATATTGTTTTAACTTAGCTAACCTGAATGCAAAATAATCTACCATTAGATCAGATTTTATGAATTAACCAAGAGCGTGTCTTCGGTGCCTGGAAACGTAGTGAGTGTGTTTGCCAGATAAGCTGTTACTCTCCAGTGCAGGAGAGAGAGAGGCAGTAAAAGCTATGAAGCTTTGCTAATGGCTAAATATTATATTAAATACACAGAGTAAGGATGCACATTCCCCTTCCAGCCTACTCAGGGGGGATCTACTACATATGGCTCTGTAAAAAACTGCAGTTAATACTTTAGGCACCCAGCAACATTTTTAAAGTGCTGCTTTCTAAGAAAAAACAAGGTATTTTTGACTACTGCTGTGCGGTGCAAATTCATTTTTAAATCTTTAAACAGATAAATAAAAAAGGTTGTTGGGGGGGAGGAACAACACCGATCTGTATTTTCTGAGCAGAAGTTAAAACTGAAATTATTTGCTTTACCTAGAGCATCGAAAATGATGTTGCAATTAGAGTGATGCAACGCAGCGCCCGTTACGAAAGGATGGCACAATTGGCAGAGCCCGCTGGAGGAAAAGCACTGGGACTGGGAGGGGAAAGGGGGGCTGTGGGCCCAGAGCTGCTCAGGAGAGAAGATTATCTGCTAATGGGGAGAGAGGAAAGCCAAGAAAAATAAAAGTTCTGCCATTCCTGCCTCTCCCATAAAGCAGGGGGAGGAGAAGGGCGACTCGTTTTATCAATGTGCCTACTTTATTTCGGTGGCACGTCTAATCCGGCGCGTGGAAAAATATTTTCTGGGAGGTGAAAGAAATTAAAAAAAAAATGGAAGTGAAAGCTAATTTTGAGCTAATATAGTTTGAAAGCTGCTAATAATAGCGGAATTTTATTCGGCGTGCTCTATTTCTACAATAGAAAAGTAAAATTCCTCTGGGTTAACTGAAACATCTGTTGAACAAATTGGTTCGGTTTCATGAGTCTGTTACTAATTCTGAGAAGTAGATGGTGTTTTATAAAAGCGGTAGAGGTGGGGGGTGCCTATATTCTTTCATTTTTTTTACTATTATTAAAGTGGGTCATTTTGAAGTGTTATGTTTTCACGAATACAGTAATACTGTGGTTAATATTTCTAGCATTTCAAGCCTTACCTGTGCTTCAGTGAGTTTTCATCACTGTTTTTAATCAACATTACTAATATTCTTTCAAGTTATGGGTTTCTAGCTTTTTATCAAGTTCTCAGTAATGAAGTAATTGAGTAATTTTTTTTAAAAAGCTCTTCTGGTACATTTTTGCTTGTATTTCCTTGTTTCTGCAGCTTTTTCTACTCTATTTTACTTACAAAGTTTGATAACAAATTTAGTTGCTGTTTTCTCATTTGGATTAATTATTCTTAGTAACTTCACAGTTGTGGGAAGAATATTGTAGGTAACAAATCAGTTTATGGCTTCACATTGTAGTAGCAAAGAATGTCATAAGAGCCAACGAGCTGATGTCATATGAATTAATAAAAGAAGAAAAAGGGAGAAATTAAAAACAGTTTCTAAGATTCTGTTCCCATGCGTTAGGAATGCTCTAATTTAATCTCCTACACGTACACGTGTGTTAAAGCAGTTTAGGTTTCTCTGGTATCTCCTGTATGTTAAAGCAGTTTAGGTTTCTCTGGTATCTCCTATCAATGTAATCACTGAAAGCAAGTGTAATGTTAGTGCAGATTAAAAATTCTCTGTGCTTTACTGTTAAATATATAAAACTGATGCAAGACCATCTTGGGCGCTACATGGAATAAGTGTAATGTTAGTGCAGATCAAATTCTCTGTGCTTTATTGTTAAATATATAAAACCGATGCAAGACCATCTTGGGCGCTACATGGAACGAGTTGTAATACTTGGACACGTTTAAAGGGAGAAGCTGAACTTTTAATTTAGAGAGCGAATAGATGTTTTCTTTGTGGTGCATACACCATGTGGAAAATACAAGACGAGCACTAGGCATGTACATTTGATGTGATTTTCAGCTTTGTGGTCAGGGTGACTGCTCGGAGCCGCTCGGTGGGTAGGTAACGAAGGATGTGAACGGAAGTTGATACTACTTTCTAATGTTACTTGAACAGATAGTTTCCTTCACTTTTTATCATGGCTATTTTTGAAGCTTTAATGTGCATTTATTACGTGGTAATTCCATTGTCTTCTTGGATAATGCAAGCACAAATAGGAGGGACAGCAGCGTGGGATGTCATCGCTTTTGAGGGCTTGCTGGGCCGAGGAGGAATTGGAGAGGTGCAGTCGAGTTTTGGGAAGGTCCACGTGAGCGTTGGCAGCTCAAGGAGCTGCTCCCCGCTGTTGATAAGATGTTCCAAACAACCCGAGTGTCAGTTTTGTCCTTGGAGCAGCTCGCTGAAGTTTCAGATGACGTGCATGAAATGAAGGGGAAGTTTTGTGGCTCAAGTCCTGTGCCAAGTCTTTTTTGAAGTTGTACGCGGCAGCTGTGCCTGTAGCTAAAGAAAGGCTTTCTTTGCCTCCGTCGTAACATCTGCATGATCTTTTAAGAGCAGAATCGTTCCGCTATGATGTATCGTTTAGCTAATCCGGGCTGCCTTCATTAAGTCTTCCCCTCCCCCTTGTTAGAAACTCTCACATTACTTTTGGGGCGAAGTTTGCAAAGATCTAGCCTTGAGTGCTTCTATGTGGAAACAGTAGGCTTCAGTCAAAAAAGAAAATAGTCCAAGGGGAGTTGAGATTTTGAGTCTGTAGCTCAGTGAGGTAATTGGGCAGCTTTAGACTGCACCCCATGAATTGGATTTTTTTGTGTCCTCCCTTGTTTGGAGGACAGGGGCTGAACATAGGGCCAGTTTTTGTGGAGATGGCACAAATGACACCTGGAGCACTGTGTCCAGCTCTGGAGCCCTCAGCACAGGAAGGACATGTTGGAACAGGTCTAGAGGAGGCCACAAAGGTGCTCAGAGGGTTGGAGCATCTCTGCTGTGAGGACAGGCTGAGAGAGGTGGGGTTGTTCAGCCTGAAGAAGAGAAGGCTCCAGGGAGACCTCAGAGCCCTTTCCAGTCCCTCAAGGGGCTCCAGGAGAGATGGGGAGGGACTCTGGATCAGGGAGGGGAGCCATAGGACGAGGGGGAAGGGTTTTAAACTGAAAGAGGGGAGACTAAGATGAGGTCTGGGGAAGAAATTCTTTGCTGTGAGGGTGATGAGACACTGGAAGAGGTTGCCCAGAGAAGCTGTGGCTGCCCCATCCCTGGAGGGGTTCAAGGCCAGGCTGGATGGGGCTTGGAGCAACCTGGTCTGGTGGGAGGTGTCCCTGCCTAGGGCAGGGGCTTAAAACTCAATGATCTTGAAGGTCCCTTCCAACCTAAACCATTCTATGATTCCATAAATAATCATAGAATTTCCTAGGTTAGAAGGGACCTTTCAGATCATCTAGTCGAACCCTCAAAATACGGCATAGTTGCCACAAACCTTGGTCTTATGGCTTCCAGAAGCATGGATTGCACCCTCCCTGCCAAGGAATTACCCCTTCTCCCTCGTGCTGGCATCCTTGTCACCACAACTCTGGGGTAAGGTGGCTCAGGGAGCCAAACCAGCTGTCAACTAGCCACGGTTTTAGAATTACAGAATGGTTAGAGTTGGAAGGGGCCTTAAAGATCATCGAGTTCCAACACCCCTGCCCTGGTTGGGTCACTTGGCTTGCTCTTCAGCTCTTTGAACTCACTAACTCCAGAGTTGGACAAATGTCTGTGCTGAAGATGACCTGGAAGAGGGGACAGCAGGGCTGAGCCTCTTGTAGTTGCAGATTAGCTCATCTGCCACTTCGAAACCGTGCCTGGGGTTGAGGCAGGAAGGCGGCAACGGAGGGAAGTGCTTTTAAAGAAGTGCCTGAGTTACACCATACACCCTGTTCACTCTGCAAGTTAAGCCAGGAGAAATCAATAAATCAGCTGTAATTGAATTTGAAATTTTAGCTTTAGTGTTTCTTTTAGTTGAAGATTTTTGCATAGAGGGCTTTAAAATCAGATCTTTAGTTAATCTTCTTCCAGTTCAAGAC